CCCTCCCGCTTTAAAACGTGAACAACATTGGACAAGTGACATGACCTACCATGTATGTGTTGGCATGCACATATTTACAGAAATATCTGTTTTTTCATTTTAATCTCTAATTTTTACAAAGATAATTTTGGAATATCCTTCAAACGATATTTTAGCTACCAGTAACGTGTATAGTATGTTGGCATTATATACCGCATCAAATACTTAACATCTACACAATAAACCAGAAATTGAATTTTCTCGGAATGAATATGTTCAAAATAACCAGTAATGCCATGTGTTTGATACCTTTGTGCATGTTTTAATGAATAAATCGCACATCCGACACACGTGACAAATCTTTGTCTAATACCTCATACAAAAAGTGATTATCGTAAACAAAAAACAATTAAAATATATTGGAAATAGCGATACTGTGTTAAATCTAAAATGTAATTAGCTGTGGGAATGTAAGAAGGTAAAAGAATGTTTTCAGACCATCATGACATGTAATTGACAAATTGAAATCCTACGAGACCGATGTAAATATCTTAAGATACCACTGAAATTACCTGTTCATTCCGTTTCACTGGGTTCATTCATATGAGCGATAAAAGCCACGTGATTTGATCGAGTAAGAATTCTATCAGTATATTGCTAAAGATTATTTCCCGGAAACTATTAGTGGTAACTGTATCAAATGTACGCAAATAAACATAGCATTGTTGCCGAAACCATCAGTGTGTTTGGTAAAATATATGTACTGTTATGATTTTGTTCAAAGCGACGTATTTCAGTGTTTTAGTATAGAACTGTATATTTTCTGATTTAATGTGTGTCCTAATGCAACTTTTCATTTTCTAAAACCGCCAAAATAAAATATTCCGAAGCATTGTTGCCGAAACCAATTTATATAAAGTAAAACATTACAATACATTATAATAATTATTATAAAATACTTCTCGTATTTCATAATTGCCGCCGCGCAGCTTTTAATACAGTAGAATCATTGTAAAAACAACTCAGTGTCTATTGCAATTCCAAATCAAATGTACCATGCAGCAGGATATTCGTTAATCCATTTCACCAATAACCATATGTTGATAATTGGAATCACTGGGATGATAAATTCCCATTGAAATCACCGGATATCAGTGGACGTAAGTATAAAAGCAATCAGGAATGCGTAAATACAATGCAACTAGTATCAGTCTAGTAATATAAGGTTATTACGAAGATACCTCAAAGTATGCACGAAGACAGTACAGCAGCAGTAGGTCGATGCGACAGCGTACTGTCTGGGTACTTACTTCTTTGTATGGAGTCTGGTCAAACTATGGTGGCAGCCATGTTTGTTTTTATTATTAGAGGACGCTTACGCGCGTAAACATTCCATATTTGGAATTCACATTTCCTAATATGGTAGGATGAAAATAACTCGTAAAATACCGCGAAATTACGACACGCTGTAACGTAAGGCGTTACGGCGATAGATGTATAATAATAATTATTATTATTACATGTGACTTGTGGATTAGGTGAAGATACTCGAACTTGATGTTTCTTTTATTTTGAATATTATTCATTCTAGACTTAATAGCTCATCATGTTGAATTAACCCACTTAGGGTTACGTTGTGATATATATATATATATATATATATGGTAAGCAATTATATTGATACAAAAGAACATTTGTTGAAAGGTTTTCTCGGCATGAGAAAACGTGTTAGCAGCACCGAAGTACTAACCAGTATGTCAGCCAGTACCAACGTACTAACCGTCATGCCGGGCCGTCATGACAGCCAATACCAACGTACTAACTGTCATGACAGCCAGTACCAACGTACTAATCGTCATGGCAGCCTGTACCAACGTACTGACCGTCATAACAGCCAATACCAACGTACTAACTGTCATGACAGCCAGTACCAACGTACTAACCGTCATATCAGCCAGTACCAACGTACTAACCGTCATGACAGCCAGTACCAACGTACTAACCGTCATGTCAGCCAATACCAACGTACTAACTGTCAAGTCAGCCCGTACGAACATACTAACCGTCATGTCAGTCAGTGCCAACGTACTAACCGTCATGACAGCCAGTACCGTGTTATATTGTAATGAGTAAAGTATATCAAGTACCGTGTTATATTGTAATGAGTAAAGTGTAGCAAGTATCGTGTTATATTTTAATGAGTAGTGTATAGCAAGTATTGTGTTATATTGTAATGAGTAGTGTATAGCAAGTATTGTGTTATATTGTAATGAGTAAAGTATACAAGTATCGTGTTATATTATAATGAGTAGTGTATAGCAAGTATCGTCTTATATTGTAATGAGTAGTGTATAGCAAGTATTGTGTTATATTGTAATGAGTAAAGTATAGCAAGTATTGTGTTATATTATAATGAGTAAAGTATAGCAAGTATCGTGTTATATTATAATGAGTAAAGTATAGCAAGTATCGTGTTATATTGTAATGAGTAGTGTATAGCAAGTATTGAGTTATATTGTAATGGGAAAAGTATAGCAAGTATCGTGTTATATTGTAATGAGTAGTGTATAGCAAGTATTGTGTTATATTGTAATGAGTAGTGTATAGCAAGTATTGTGTTATATTGTAATGA